CTTCAGGAGACAGGTTTGGTGTGATATCAACTCCTAGATCTTTCAGTCTGTCCGTTTCTTGGAATATGAGTATGTATCCTCAAGTCTATGGCAAGTATGAGTATGTATCCTCAAGTCTATGACAAGTATGAGTATGTATCCTCAAGTCTACGACAAGTATGAGTATGTATCCTCAAGTCTATGACAAGTATGAGTATGTATCCTCAAGTTTATGACAAGTATGAGTATGTATCCTCAAGTTTATGACAAGTATGAGTATGTATCCTCAAGTCTATGACAAGTATGAGTATGTGTCCTCAAGTCTATGACAAGTATGAGTATGTATCCTCAAGTCTATGACAAGTATGAGTATGTATCCTCAAGTTTATGACAAGTATGAGTATGTATCCTCAAGTTTATGACAAGTATGAGTATGTATCCTCAAGTTTATGACAAGTATGAGTATGTATCCTCAAGTCTATGACAAGTATGAGTATGTGTCCTTATTTACCTATATGCGTATATATTTCTCAGATCATTGACGTATGCCATGATCAATATGGCTCCCAGATCTTAAAGTTGTGCAACAACTTTAAGTGCTCAACAGTTGTGCTGGTTGATCAGTCCAGCAACCAGGAGGCCTGGTCGACGACCGGGCCGCGGGGACACTAAGCCCCGGAAGCACCTCAAGGTAGTCAAGATAACAATGCTTGTTATTCGTCTCCGGGGGAGCCGGTCGGCCGAGCGGACAGCACGCTGGACTGTGATCCTGCGGTCCCGGGTTCGATCCCGGGCGCCGGCGAGAAACAATGGGCAGAGTTTCTTTCACCCTTTGCCCCTGTTACCTAGCAGTAAATAGGTACCTGGGTGTTAGTCAGCTGTCACGGGCTGCTTCCTGGGGGTGGAGGCCTGGTCTAGGACCGGGCCGCGGGGACACTAAAGCCCCGAAATCATCTCAAGATAACCTCAAGATAACCAGTGCAACTTTCTCTTCCTTGCAACGTCGGTTAGGACGTCTTCTCACGTCCAGCGATAACGAGATAAAGGACTCTCTGAAGGACTCTTGTGGGGAGTCCGGAACTAGTTAAGTATTTACGAAACATATACATCTTTCCTCAACCATGGCGGATCTGTGTACATATTTGAAGCAGTTTGAGCTTCGAAACTTTACAACTCAAGTTGTTATTGTTATAAACATAGGGTTTGTGAGTTCACACGGGGGGGGGGGGGGGGCCTGGCTGGCAAGGAGCCCCCCCCCCTGTTTGAGTAGGGCCTCGGGCCCCCTGAAAACGTGAGGGGCCCCCCTTTGGACACGGGGCCCACAGGGGGCGCCTGACGAAGCCTTGGCCCTCCTAGCCCGCCCACACACCAAAGACCAAGCCTTGATGTGATTACTTCAACTATCTATCCTAGTCTATTATGTAATTACTTTAGGAATCTATCGAAGTCTATTATGTGATTACTTTAAGAATCTATCGTAGTCTATTATGTGTGTGTGTACTTCGGCAATCTATCGGTCTATTATATTACTACTTTAGCAATCTATCGGTCTATTATGTTATTACTTTAGCAATCTATCGTAGTCAATGATGTGATTAATTTAACAATCTATTGTAATTTATGACATGGTTACTTCAATAATCTATCCTAGTCTATTATGGGATTACGTCAACAATCTATCCTAGTCTATTATCTGACTATTTGACCATGGGAGATACTCTGGCCCTTATCTATGCTATCACTGCAGGAGTGACTCGCAGTGGACGGTAGAGCGACGGTCTTGTATCATGCAGGTCAGCGTTCAATCCCCGACTGTCCATAAGAGGTTGGGCATCATTCTTTCCTCCCGTCCCATCCCAAATCCTTATCCTGACCCCCCTTTCCAAGTGCTATATAGTCGTACTGGCTTGGGGCTTTGCCCGGATAATTCCGTCCCCCTTCCTCCATTCTTCTACTTCTTCTTCGGATTGTACGTCCAGCACGGGATATGAGAGTCCCCCCCGCCCCTCTCGTGTTAAACTTCCTGTTTTCTTTCCCTCATTTTCTTCTTGAACTCTAATAGTTTCCCCTTGCATGGTTCCCTCTATTGATTTATTTTTAATAAGGGAGTTCAGAGATTATTTTGCCATGTCTTCATGATTTATTTCATGATATAATGTTTCAGGTTAGTTACGGAGAAGGCCTGTTCAGCCTGTTCACTTACTCTGAAGTCTGTCTTTTTTTCATGTATACTTATCACGCTGGGTTTGTCCTTGTGGTCTTAAACAGATGTGTCTTCCAGGACCAAGAGACAAGGGTGGGAAGCCAAGAGCTTCCTCAGGGGCCGCCAGAAGGCACATTAGGGAGACCAAGGAGGGGAAGCCAAAAGCTTCCTCAGGACCGTCTCATTATACCAAGTTAGTGGTGTGCCAGTCACCTGGTATAGCCTCGCGTATATCAGAGGCCGGCTGGGAGGGGAGGGGGGGGGGGCTACACTAGGGGCCGGGTGGGGAGGCTATACTAGGGGCCGGGTGGGTGGGGGGGGGGAAGAAAAGGTTAATTGCTGGAGCACTGTGGCGCTGAGTTTCCAGTTTTAGCTCAGTTTTGCTTTCCTGAAGCCTCACCTGGTGGCTGTTGTTAGAGCAACCTGTCCCCCTAGCCAACCTGTCCTCCTAGCCAACCTGTCCTCCTAGCCAACCTGTCCCCCTAGCCAACCTGTCCTCCTAGCCAACCTGTCTGCTTAGCCAACCTGTCCTCCTAGCCAACCTGTTCTCTTAGCCAACCTGTTCTCTTAGCCAACCTGTCCTCTTAGCCAACCTGTCCTCTTAGCCAACCTGTCCTCCTAGCCAACCTGTTCTCTTAGCCAACCTGTTCGCTTAGCCAACCTGTCCTCCTAGCCAACCTGTCCTCTTAGCCAACCTGTCCTCCTAGCCAACCTGTCCTCCTAGCCAACCTGTCCTCCTAGCCAGCGTGTCCTCCTAGCCAACCTGTCCTCCTAGCCAACCTGTCCTAGCCAACCTGTCCCCCTAGCCAACCTGTCCTCCTAGCCAACCTGTCCTCCTAGCCAACCTGTCCCCCTAGCCAACCTGTCCTCCTAGCCAACCTGTCCCCCTAGCCAACCTGTCCTCCTAGCCAGCGTGTCCTCCTAGCCAACCTGTCCTCCTAGCCAACCTGTCCTCCTAGCCAACCTGTCCCCCTAGCCAACCTGTCCTCCTAGCCAACCTGTCCTCCTAGCCAACTTGTCCTGTCCTCCTAGCCAACCTGTCCTCCTAGCCAACCTGTCCTCCTAGCCAACCTGTCCCCCTAGCCAACCTGTCCTCCAAGCCAACCTGTCCTCCTACAAAAAAACGTCGCTTTTCGTTCGCATGTGTTACATAAAGCCAAAAATCGTCGTACTAGAAAAAGGCAGCGGCTCGTGAAATTGACATTCTGTCCCGTTTTCTATTTTGGGTCTTCGGGTATGTTAGGATAAGGGCACTTTAGTACGACGGTTTCTTGACGGTGGGAAACTTGAGGAGGACGGGCTGTTTAGAGAGAGCTGAGAATAGTTACGCCATTTCCAAGAAAATTCCTGTTGCCTTCAAACACAACTTACATATATTTCTAATACTGGCCGGTTAGCGTATTCCATGGTGTTGCTGCATATTCCAGGATTGGTCTGACATATGTAGTGTGTAATGTCCTTAAGTGTTATTTACTCAGAGGTCTTATGATAGTTGTCCCACGCATTACTTTCTTTTCGATTCATAATGGATTTCATCTGTTTGGTACCGTGAGTTTGGCTTCCTGTTCCCTGCACCTAATTTGAGTACTTTGCACTTATTTGAGTTAAACTCGAGTAACTATTGTTTGACAGTTCTTTCACTTTATCAAGGTCATCTTGTTGTTTTTTGGTATCTGTTTTAAACCTCATAACTGTTGCATCATCAACAACCATTGGCAGGAATGAGTCTATTCACTCTGGAAGATAATTTACATTTATCAGTAACAAGATAGGTACGAATTCTGACCCCTGTAGAATTCCCTCATAGTGACTCTCTGGCTTCTGTTGCTTAGGTACTCCTTCGTCTGCTGGACCATCTTCCCTGTTATTCCTGCCTGCTTCTCCATATTGTACACTAGTCTTTTGTGGGGTAACTATAGCATAGGCTTCCTGACAATCTATAGATATACAGTCTGCCACCATTGTCTGATCATTCTGTATCGTCCCTTCTCTCCACATGTGCTGCCAGCCTCTTTCTCACGCTCTTCTCCATCACCTTGCTTGGTATGCAAGGTAGGGACACTGTGCTGTATTTCAGTGTTTCATGTCTCTCTCCCTTCTTTGTATACTGGGCTACACTGGCTGTCTTCCAACTTTCTGGCAGGTTTCTTATTAGCATTGACAATATACATGGCAGAAAGTGGTGAGTATTGGGCTTCTGCTCCGTCCTTTAGTATGCATTCTGAGATTGTCTGGTTGAGCAGCCTGAGTTGTGTCTGCCTGGTGCAGATGCCCTCTTATCTTACCTTCTCTGTTACTGTTGATATCCTCCAGTGCCGCGAGGTATAACTCCAACACAGCTTGGGTTGAGCACTTCCTTTATTTGCTACGTCGTTTTCAAATTGTTCCTCCGCTTCCGTTCTCACATTGTGATTCGTGGGAGGTGTTATGTACTTGACGTGGGAGTAGCAGGTGCTGTGGGAGGGGCGATGCTGCAATTGACATGGGAGAAATAGGTACTTTAGGAGAGGTGATGGTGGAGATAACGTGGATGTGGTAGATGATGTGAGAAGTAGGCATGAAAGGCAAGAAATAATCTATCATAGGTGTGTCCGGTGGAGTGTAAAGGGGGGGGGGGGGTAGGTGGGGATAGGAGATGCAGGTGTGCCTGGTGGAGACAGTCAGTGCCCCAATGACTTGTCATGTTCTAAGTAACACTCCCAATTTAGGGAGGTCCTCACGCTTATATATTTATATACTTCCCCAAAAGTTATACACTCCCTGTTTCATCATTTTTGAGTGTGCGTGTGTGTTAATACACTGTTTGGTTGTGTTGCAGGTGTGGGCGGGTGTAGAGTGACTGGGAGCCAGCGGCCGGCACACTAAATATAGAGCTGGCAGGGTGGCTGGCTTTGGATCTTCTCCCACTGCTGCTGCTGGCGGCAGTGGCACTATTCCGCCCCCACTGGCCTGCACACCTCCTCACCACCACTACTGCGCCGTCACTCAAGGTTTCCTCTGTGTTCCCCCCTCCCCCCTCGTGTGTGTGTGAGATGGGTGTTAAAGGCAGTACCACTCAGTGTGATGTACTGTCCCAGGACAGTAGCCTGACTGCTGCCCTCTGACCCGGCAGGTCACCTGACAGTACTGGGTGTTTAAGAGGGCCAGTGCCACAGTGGCAGATACTGGGTGGTGTGCTCCGCAAGGATAGTGATACAGTGTGATATTCTGGGTGGTGTGTTCTACAAGAATAGTGCCACAGTGTGAGATTTTTGGTGGTTCACAAGGAAATTGCCACAGTGACAACAGTGAATGGACAGTGAGCCTCGCCTATCCTTAGTTGCTGAAGTGGTCCGGGTGATGACCTAGCCACCATGCCTGTGCCACCATCCACGCCCACCGTGGGCACCAGGTACCCGTCTTACACTCACTATCCCTCGTACCGAACTCCGTCCTCGGCCGCGTATCTGGCGCGAACGACGTCTCTCGACCGCTCCTCCTACACCAGCAGCTACGGCAGCTCCAGCAGCAGCAGTTCCTACGGCAGCTCCTACGGCAGCGCCTTCGCCAGCAAGTACTCGCTGCCGCCTCGACCCTCATACTCGGCCTCGTCCGATACATACCGCAGTAGCCGCAGCCTGCGGCAGTCCCCCGTCAGGCCGTCTTACTCGAGGCTTAGCTCAGATTCCCAGCTCGAATCCCCGCCGCCTGCGGCCTCGTCCTCATCTCGCTACACCTCGCGTTATTCACGAGATTCAGCTAATCGAGAAACCTCGACCTCGCGGGACTCTGGCTACAGCTCGCGCCTTGCGTCTCGCGACCGTTCCATCGACGCTGTGAACGGCAACGGGATCGACACCAGCCACTTCGGTCCCTCGCCGTCCTCGTACGCCTGCAACTACCGCTGGGAAGCGCGGGAAAAGGACAAAAGCGCCGAGGACGACTCCAATCAGAATGGCGAGGCTGAGAAAGTGCGCATCACGGATCGCATCCGCGCGTTCGAAACCCGCACCTCGGCGCGGGAAAGCGGCGGAGGACTCTTGGCCGGAAGGGAAAGTGCGGTTCCGTCATCTAGAGACACCGGATTCTCCTCCTCTCGGGAGAGCGGATCGAACCGAGACAAAAGCTATCTATCCGGTGCGGAGAGCGGTGTGTCCAGGCGTCGCGCGTATGTATCCTATCCCTCCGACGCTCCTTCTCGTCCCTCGGCTAGGAAGATGTCTCCGGAGGGCGGCGAGGCTCGAGAGAGAGGCGAGGACAGCGGCAGCAGCGGCGAGGAAAGGAGACAGTCGGTGACGGAACTGTGCCGTAAATACGACACCAACCACAACGTGACGAACGGCTTGTCGCGGCACGACGACGACGAGGACGGCAGCGATGGCAGCGTGTGTTCGGGCGAGGCCACGGCGGCAGAGTCTTCAGCTACACCTAAGACCCGTAAGCGAACAGATTCCGCCAGTCGAAGTGAAAGAACCGGTTCGCCCGTCTCTTCTCGCGTGGATTCACCCAGCAGGTCTCGGGTGGACTCCCCTGCGCGTAATCACTTGGACTCGCCTTCGAGAACACGTTTGGACTCTACGGCGCAAGTCCACAAGGACTCCCCTGGGAGGAGTCGCCTGGACTCCCCCACTAGAGGACACAGGGACTCTTCTGGCACGTCTCGGACTGACTCTACTTCGACCCGGGATGGCCGCTCCTCGCCCGTCCTCAATGGCAGTTTTGAGAAGGTAATTAGATCTTTTTTCTGTTACTCCACATCATCCGTAATCCACCAACGACATGTATCACCCACATCCACTCCTCCCACATCCACACCTCCCACATCCACACCTCCCACAGCCACACCTCCCACATGCACACCTCCCACATGCACACCTCCCACAGCCACACCTCCCACATCCACACCTCCCACATCCACACCTCCCACATCCACTCCTCCCACATCCACACCTCCTACATCCACACCTCCCACATCCACTCCTCCCACATCCACACCTCCTATATCCACGCCTCCCACATCCACACCTCCCACATGCACACCTCCCACATCCACACCTCCCACATCCACACCTCCCACATCCACACCTCCCACATCCACACCTCCCACATCCACATCCACACCTCCCACATATGTATACCATCCACACGCTATCGTGTATCACGCTCCTACACCCACAAACACCCAGTACACACCAGGAGACACCCAGTACACACCAGGAGACACCCAGTACACACCAGGAGACACCCAGTACACACCAGCAGACACCCAGTACACACCAGCAGACACCCAGTACACACCAGCAGACACCCAGTACACACCAGGAGACACCCAGTACACACCAGGAGACACCCAGTACACACCAGCAGACACCCAGTACACACCAGCAGACACCCAGTACACACCAGCAGACACCCAGTACACACCAGGAGACACCCAGTACACACCAGGAGACACCCAGTACACACCAGCAGACACCCAGTACACACCAGCAGACACCCAGTACACACCAGGAGACACCCAGTACACACCAGGAGACACCCAGTACACACCAGCAGACACCCAGTACACACCAGGAGACACCCAGTACACACCAGCAGACACCCAGTACACACCAGGAGACACCCAGTACACACCAGCAGACACCCATTACACGCCAGCAGACACCCAGTACACACCAGCAGACACCCAATACACACCAGCAGACACCCAGTACACACCAGGAGACACCCAGTACACACCTGCAGACACACAGTACACACCAGGAGACACCCAATACACACCAGCAGACACCCAGTACACACCAGGAGACACCCAGTACACACCTGCAGACACACAGTACACACCAGGAGACACCCAGTACACACCAGCCGACACCCAGTACACACCTGCAGACACCCAGTACACACCTGCACACACAGTACACACCTGCAGACACCCAGTACACACCAGCCGACACCCAGTACACACCTGCAGACACCCAGTACACACCTGCACACACAGTACACACCTGCAGACACCCAGTACACACCAGCCGACACCCAGTACACACCTGCAGACACCCAGTACACACCTGCACACACAGTACACACCTGCAGACACCCAATACACACCAGCAGACACCCAGTACACACACATATATACAAGGTATTTTTAGTCAATCCTGTGTTTTGTAGTTTCTAGTGCATTCTTGTCTTTCTGGTGTATTCTGGTGTATTTCTGTATTTCTGGTATACTTCAATATTTTTCAGTTCTTATCTTGTATTTTCCTTATGTCTTCCTTGTCCTGTGTTTTTAAGGTTCATTTCAGTTTTTATTTTCCAGTTTATTACTATTTGGTGTTTTTCAGGTTTATTCCCATGTTTTGTGTTTTTCTTTCTAGATATATATATATATATATATATATATATATATATATATATATATATATATATATATATATATATATTGTTAAATATGACCGAAAAAGTAAGATTAAAAATTCTAACACGAATTTTCTCAATATTTCTTATGTTTCTTTTTACTGTCGATGGTAATTGAAAAATCAATTCTCCAAAATTCATTTTTATTTCTAGTCTGACGAGACGCTTGAACGCGTTTCGTAATAACGTATTACATTTTCAAAGACTTTAGTTTACACACCCACAACTTGTAACCTGAAAACACTTAACAGAGTTTTACTAACTCTAACGCTAAACAGCTTGTCTTATATACTCGCATTTGGGTGAGGTGGTATGTTGAAACAGTTTTGGATGAGGTGAACAAACTTTTGACCAACACAAGACAGAACACGGTTCAATGGGTATAAATTGGATAAGTGAAAGGGAAGAATGGAAGTAACTGCAAAGGGCCTATTGACCCATACTTCCTCTTGATGCTTCTATATTGGAGCGGAGTCTTGAAGTGGGTAGAATATAGTTGTGCATTAATTGGCTGTTGATTGCTGGTGTTGACTTTTTGATGTGTAGTGCCTCGCAATGCATAAGCAACAGGGCTCCATTAAGGAACATATAATCTCTTCCCACAACCAGACCATCACCAGAGAAGTCTTAACAAACAACATAGAAATCATCGATAGATACAGTGATAGCAGGCGGCTTGACATCTGCGAGGCACTACACATGTCTTAAGTCACACGTGAACACCTGATATCGTTCTTAAGTCACACGTGAACACCTGATATCGTTCTTAAGTCACACGTGAACACATGATATCACATGATATAGTTTTGAAGTCACACGTGAACACATGTTACCACAAGATATTGCTCTTAAGTCACATGTTAACACATGATATCGCTCCTAAGTCACACGTGAACACATGATATCGCTCTCAAGTCACACGTGAACACATGATATCACACTTAAGTCACACGTGAACACCTGATATCACACTTAAGTCACACGTGAACACCTGATATCACACTTAAGTCACACGTGAACACCTGATATCACACTTAAGTCACACGCGAACACCTGATATCACACATAAGTCACACGCGAACACCTGATATCACACTTAAGTCACACGTGAACACCTGATATCACAAGATATCACACTTAAGTCACATGTGAACCGTGTAGTGCAGATGTTTTACATTATTTATGAGTCGTGTTTACAGTGCAGTCAGGTGTGTGAGAAGTGCAATGAGGCGTGTTGGTAGTGTAGACATGTGTGTGAGAGTTGAGGCCGGGTGGGGACACCTGTTGCAACGAGCATCGTTGATCAACTCACCATCAACCCGCTTTCCCCTCCTAACACAACCTGCTATGTTAAAACAATAGAAAAACCCCATCTATAACAACTATAACAATAACTATAACATCTATAACTATAACATATATAACAAGCACTTGAAGAAAAAACAAAAGGCAGATGCTGCATTCATGGGCTTTGCAAAAGGCAGATTTTGCGTTTACGGACTTTGCAAAAGGCAGATTTTGCATTCACGGACTTTGCAAAAGGCAGATTTTGCATTCACGGACTTTGCAAAAGGCAGATTTTGCGCTTACGGACTTTGCAAAAGGCAGATTTTGCATTCACGGACTTTGCAAAAGGCAGAAGTTGCATTCACGGATTTTGCAAAAGGCAGAAGTTGCATTCACGGACTTTGCAAAAGGCAGAAGTTGCATTCACGGACTTTGCAAAATATAGAAGTTGCATTCACGGACTTTGCAAAATATAGAAGTGTCATTCACGGGCTTTGCAAAATATAGAAGTTGCATTCACGGACTTTGCAAAAGGCTGATGTTGCATTCACGGACTTTGCAAAAGCCATTTAATAATTGTGGCATGACGTGATAGCCACTAAAATGAGATCACTCGGAATAACAGGTAAAGTGATGGATAGTCACCTTCGTGCCAAAAAGTAGCAGTTAATTAACCAACATTAAGTCGAAGTACCGTGCACCGTGCTCTGTACCTCGGGGCACAGTCCCTGCACCGTGCACCGTGCTCTGTACCTCGGGGCACAGTCCCTGCACCGTGCACCGTGCTCTGTACCTCGGGGCACAGTCCCTGCACCGTGCACCGTGCTCTGTACCTCGGGGCACAGTCCCTGCACCGTGCACCGTGCTCTGTACCTCGGGGCACAGTCCCTGCACCGTGCCCTGGGGTACAGTCAGATGGTTGGCTTTACCTTATTCTTACATCAGATATAGACAAAAATACAAGTCACAGCTTCGCGTCATCGTTTAGAGATGACACAAGAATCAGCATGAAAATGACCTCTATGCAAGGCTCTATAAGAACTACAAGCTGATATCAATAATCTCTTCGACGATGTGACAGAAAATTACATACGTTTTGTAACAGTGGTAAATTACAGGGGCACAGATTCATGAAGCAGTTACGCAAGCACTTACGAACCTCCTGCCAGATTCACGAAGCAGTTATGCAAGCACTTACGAACGTGTACATCTTTCCTCAATCTTTGACGGCTTTGGTTACATTTATTAAACAGTTTACAAGCATGAAAACTTGCCAATCAACTGTTGTTATTGTTCTAAACAGCCTCCTGGTGCTTCGGAGCTCATTAACTGTTAAATAATTGTAAACAAACTGCCAAAGATTGAGAAAAGATGGACAGGTTCGAAAGTGCTTGCGTAACTGCTTCGTGAATCTGGCCCCAGATACCCGGACATGGTACAAATGAAGAACTTAAACTACAGGTTACAAGACACAATCAAGTCTCACAGAAGGAGAAGGAGCCACGTAGAGGAGCTGGGAACAATGATCTCAAACGACGTGAGGTTTGCTGACCATAACTGAACCAACATAGCATCAACCAGGACAGTTAGAGGTTGATTATGAGAACCTTGATTATGAGAAAATCAGAGCCTCGTAGCCTGGTGGATAGCGCGCAGGATTCGTAATTCTGTGGCGCGGGTTCGATTCCCGCACGAGGCAGAAACAAATGGGCAAAGTTTCTTTCACCCTGAATGCCCCTGTTACCTAGCAGTAAATAGGTACCTGGGAGTTAGTCAGCTGTCACGGGCTGCTTCCTGGGGGTGGAGGCCTGGTCGAGGACCGGGCCGCGGGGACACTAAAAAGCCCCGAAATCATCTCAAGATAACCTCAAGATAACCTTCAACCCCGCCAAGGATTCCACCACACTGTGCTCATTATTCTCATTACTTGTGCTTTCTCGCCTTGACCACTGCTCGGAGAGGTTTCAAGTGATTCAGAGAACATGTACGGCATATAGACGCCACACAGCACCTAAATTAC